TGAGAGTGACTCTTGAAGGACCAGCACCACATCCTCTTGTACCGCTGTTTGAGAATTTATCTTCCAGAATCTGACAGTAAGTTTATGGAGTTAATTTTTAGTCCATCTCGAGATTTTATCTGTAGAAGATAACCTGCTTAATAATTATGCGCACCTGAATATAAGGCGTTTTTCACTTCCAGCCTTCATGAACAATAAAATATAGATTATAAGTGATTAAATACAAGATTAATAGTAGTTATTAAGATTGATGTTGTTTGGAATTGGTCAAATGTGCTTGGAAAAAAATATAATCAGAACATCAACTTGCATAATAATTATGCATGCACTTTATTTTTCCTCTTCTGCTGTCGCGGTAATGCAAGAAATGTTGTGAATGGTTGTCAAGGCAGCCAATCAGAATTTAGCAGCCTCGTCTCTGATTGGCTGGAATTATGGCATTGTTATGTAATGGCTATGGAGGTGGAACAAGGAGACACAGGCGTAAACTCAAAATACAGTCTTTTAATCTTCGCTTCGGGGAAATACAGGGCAGACAGACACTCACGTAGCACATCGGGGAATCAACTCAATAGCAGACAAAGGAATAATGGAGAACACAGGTTTTAAATACTAGGAACGTAATCAGGGAGAAACAGAAACAGGTGTGGAGCTAATTAATCAAAAACCATGGAAACAAACAAGGCAGGAGAAAGGAGACACAGAAAACGAAACCAAAACAGATCATAACCATAACAGTTCGTCCCCTCCTGGAACGGCACGTCCTCGTGCCGACAAAAGTCCAACAGAGGAGGTAGGGTGGGGGTTCAGGAGGTGGGTGTGGGGCAGGCAATGGAAAGGGAGCATAGTTCATCATGCCAGGGCAGAGTGGATGGAGGGAGGAGCCCGGAGCAGGAGGAGCCAGATGGGAATCTAGAGGCCAGCCAGGATAGCGGCCCACGGTGGAGTCAACGGCGGGAGGCGCCATGGTGGAGATATGGCTGACCCCACTAGGGGGCCGACTGACGGAGACTGAGCTGATGGAAGAGGAGCCCATGATGTAGCAGAGCAGATGGAGAGCCAGGGTGACACTGAGGATCCGGAGGGCCAAGGTGGAGCTGAAGGCTCAAGTGACCGAGGCGGAGGCGGGGCTCTGGAAGACCGCTGCGGAGCCGGAGCGACTGAGGATGGAGGCAGAGCCAGAGGGAAGAAAGAGCCTGACAGAGCCAGAGGGACGGAGTGACGAGGCGAAGCCAGAGGAGTGGAGTCCCGAGGCGGCGGATGGTCGACGACTGACCAAGGCGGAGTCGGAGGGATGAGGGAGCCCGGTGGAGCTGGTGGGATGACGGGCCATGGTGGAGACAAGGGAGCTTTGAACCTAAGCGGAGCCGATGGGTCAAAGGACCGAGGTGGAGTCCAGGGCTCGGAGGCTGGAGGCAGAGGCAGGGAATCCTCACGCCAAGGCGGAGCTGGAGACTGGAGGTCCCTAGGTGAATCAGAGCGCCCCGATGGCGCTGACTGAGGGTGAGCTGAGGGACTGACAGGCACCAGCGGAGATGGGGCTGAGGAACTGACTAGTTCTTTAAGAGGAGGCAGGAGAGGGAGGCTGGGAGGGGACACTGGAGGACAGGAGCTGGACGGAACCAGCGGAGACGTAGGAGAACTGGCTAATGCCTCCCCAAACCAGTCTATTAAATCCACTTTGAAACAGTCCATTAGTTCCTCATAATGTGGTCCAGTGACCAGTTGCAGCTCACCCTCAGCGGCGGGAGTGTGGGCGGGGCTTCCCTGCAAGCCCTCAATCTCCACCAAAACTCCCTTGGGGACGGGCGATGTAGCCGGCTCACGCACCTGGTCAGACAATTCAAGAGGCTCAGGCTCCGGGGCGACGATCGGTTCAGTCGCGGTGGGCTCAGGCTCTCCGTCTGCGGTGGGCTCAGGCATCTGCTCCGTGCAGCGGGATGACGGCTGGCTGGTCTCTGGTTCGTGAGTGGGGCTGGAGATGTCCTCCTCGGCGGGGCAGACGGAGAGACACAGTCCATTTCTCTCCAGCACCCACTCCACGAAAGCAGCGAAATCCTCCTTGGGACCGTTCGTGGGTAGGCGTGCCTTGCACCGCTCGCTCAGGCTGGTGTGATAGAATATGCAGAGTGAGCAATCCGGGAAGTGTGTAAGGCACGCCAGATCTACAAAGTCCCTGGTATGGTCCTCCAGCGAACAGTCCTGTTGCTCCAGGCAAAGGAGTTGAATGGCTGGGATTGCCATTCCGGAAGAGAGGAGAAACAAAACAAAAAGAAAGAAAAACGCCGCTATTATTACTCACTTTTACGGTCTGCTATTCTGTTATGTAATGGCTACGGAGGTAGAACGAGGAGACGAGGAGACACAGGCGTAAACTCGAAATACAGTCTTTTAATCTTCGCTTCGGGGGAAATACAGGGCAGACAGACACTCACGTAGCACATCGGGGAATCAACTCGATAGCAGACAAAGGAATAATGGAGAACACAGGTTTTAAATACTGAGAACATAATCAGGGAGAAATAGAAATAGGTGTGGAGCTAATTAATCAAAAACCATGGAAACAAACAAGGCAGGAGAAAGGAGTCACAGAAAACTAAACCAAAACAGATCATAACCATAACAGGCATATTGTAACGCTGGGTTGTGTTAAGCAATCGAACCGTTGGCATTTAGAGAGCACTGAGGGCGGGCATCAGGTGAGCAAGCTAGTGAAACTTTGCATGCGCAAAAGAGAAGGTCTGCACACATCCAAAAACTTATTTTAAATGCAAAATTGATTTTTGTGCGCTCTAAATACTTTTATCTTTGCGAAACAAACATTTTCTCCACAAAACTCAAATCGCGCACGTGCGAAATGCACTTTTGTGCACTCAAAATATGATCTTTCGCACGCAGAATTGTGGCAGAGATCTAAGCCTATAGACAACCCCCTCCTGACACAGGAGAACTTCCCACACGGACACAAACACAGTTAGAAGTCTTAACAAAACAAGAGACAAAAGCTCACATGGAAGGAAAAACACGGGGTGTTAAGAAGGTCCTACTGTCATATAGTCGGCAATCCTTTCTCCAGTCCCTTGCATGATGCAGTTCTGTTAGGAAGTGTGTGTGTGTGTGTGAAAGAGTCTGACTCAGAGGGCTGCTGGGACACTCTGGGTGCTGCACAGCCACTTGTCATTCAAAATCTACACCAAAGCATCGCCTATAGGAGCTGCAAAGGAAGGCAGTGGTAGATAGATCTGGGTCATCATGTTCCTCACACCAGACCACTTGTGCAAACCAGAAAGTGACTTTTTGTTTTCCACCATGGATCTGAGGAAATATACATATTTAACCAAATTATTTGTTGTTTATAACTAATAAAAACACATAAGAGTACTCATTTACAGAGAGAAAATAACTAATGGGTGCGTGAACGTCATGTTCTGTACTTGCACCCGTGATGCAAACACTGTACAGATAAGAACACACTTCCTTCCTATTGCTGGACTTGTCTTTACCTCCCTATTAGCATTTGCTTTCTCTGAATGGGATTAATTAGGATCAATATGGCTAGGCAGTATGTGTCCAACAGAAATAAATACACCTTTGGCACTTGAGATCTTTCTTCCTCTTTTTCTCTGAACAATTACAATGTAAATGTGACTATTAAAAAAGCATTAGTAACCCATTCTTTACCTAAATAGCTGCTTTATGACAATGCCTACATGAAAATGATTGTGTTTGGACACAACTATGCTTTTGGATTGCAGTTCAAAGATACGTAGCACAACAGATATAGATACCTAGAATGCCAGTAAAACAAAACAAAATAAAACAAAATAGAGCAAAGCAAAGCAAAACAAGAAAAAAAAGCAAAAACCAGACAAAGTGAAACAGATAAGAGGGAGAGGGCAGGGGAAGAAAAAGAAACTTATACAACAACCGTTATCAAAACTATTTAAGCTATATTTATAGATATATATTTAAGAATTGAGCTTTCATGTTCATGGAAGAGAAGTCTAATAATATTATAGAGAAGAAAAGTCTAATAATACCTACATTTTGCAATTTTCTATATTTACTAACAGTACAATGATGCCAGCATAATCAATGACCTGTCGATTAATCTCATCATCGGCATCATAATAACACAACTCACACTCACCAGCCTCACACATGCAACACTGAAGAGCTTTGGTGAGAGGTTATGTATGAAGAATTACAGTAGTGTTGTGGACTGGTGCAATTCATGTCTTTAGCTTGACAGACTCTGTGCTTCTGCGATATTAGCATCTGTGATAGAGATATGGCTACATTCAGTAGGGTGGGATGGAAGGTGAGTGTCAGTATGTGGCACAAATATTAACCACAGTATGGTTTAGAAACTGTGCAGCAATAAAATAAAGTTTAATATACTGTGTTGAACAATTTACAAAAATTTTGGTCTGTTTGCAGTAACCAGCATGTTCAGTTGCATCACAAAGGTCAAGTGTGGAAAATCTGAGTTTTCGGAGAAGACGTCAATGGTTTTTACTAGTGGGAAATTAATATTTCATGTAATTACATTATGATGTGAATTATAGCATTACAGCATTATAGTCTATAATGCAGCTAAGTTTCAATAGTGTGTCTGAGTTCATACATAGTATATTTGATCTGTGTGAATCTGCCCGGGTTAATATTTGCAATATCCACCAGAGGACATTTGTTCTTCCTTTAAACACAAACACTGGTAGTCACATACATACAAGTTACATCACATCTGCATGTATGATTTAGACACAGAATAACACATAGACAGCACAACACGACACAACAGTACACAGAACACGAAACGACAGTACAAAAACATTGCACAAAAAATTATCACTAAGAGACTACTTAAAGGAGGGCAGGAATATGTGATGGATGTAATGACTGCGGTGAGAAGAGAGGGAATAGTTTACATTCAGAAATTAGCACCTGCGTATACAGTACAAGGATGGACAGAAATATAAACTTATGACATTTAACATGGTGCACAATAAACAATTCATTCCAATGTGCACATAGAGAAGTTCCCAGTAAGGGTATTGTACATGTCACTGTTGATTGCAAAACAGTAGGTGGAATTACATTAATAATAAATAATAAAATATTTCATAAAAAAAAGAAAAAAGTAGTTTATGCAGCTAGAAACAACAGAAAGAAATATAAGTGTACAGATGTTGACATTTCACCTAAGACAGTAGGGGACAGAGTGAAACAACAAACGTTGAAATAATATTCACAGAAGATTCAGATCATGTATGATAATAGTGTCATACATGCAGGTCACCGCCACTGATGGTGGATAAGACATGCTCATTCATACACAACACATCCAGTTTGATTTGAAAGATAATAAAAACATTGTTTCTTAAATATATACTTCAACCATTCACTAACCTTGGATAAAAACCTTGCACTGAGAATAAACTGGTCTCGATTCACCAGAAAATGGAACATAATTGACCAAAAATCTTATAAACTATATTTTAGTTTCTTTACTTGAACCAGTCAGGTTCAGGCTTCAGTCATACTGAAGTTAAATGCAGTGGATATGCAGATCTCTGCATTTATGTGCATTACTTGATGGATAATTTAACATCACTTGAATAATTAATTATTTTTAATACAATTAATAATAAATACTGCTGAGACAATGATTGAATCCAGCAGTCTGGTCCACCAAAAACTAAATAATGCAGAACTTCACTATATGATTAAGAAGAGGTATTAAAAATATTTTTTTTATGAGTCTATATGAGAGATTGTGTGTAGTAAAAATGAAAACCCCCTCATGACAGGCCCCTCCCCCTCGCTCTCTGTGACCTAAACAGAATGAAAGCATTGACCCCTTTGGAAGCATTATCAGCCAGGCCAGCAACCTCTCAGCCATATCTCGGCACTCAATTTTTACTGAATTTTTGCTGCAACGTTTCTGGGAACTGCTGAATGACTAGAAAATAGCATGAAAGAGCAATTGCAATCAGCAGTGCCAATTTGGTTGTTAGGAATCATTTTGGACTGCCATTCTGTGGACAATATTAACTCATTTATAATATAGTTTGAGTCCCTGATCTTATATATATACACACATACAGTATCTCACAGAAGTGAGTACACCCCTCACATTTTTGTAAGTATTTTATTATATCTTTTCATGTGACAACACTGAAGAAATGACACTTTGCTACAATGTAAAGTAGTGAGTGTACAGCTTTGTATAACAGTGTAAATTTGCTGTCCCCTCAAAATAACTCAACACACAGCCATTAATGTCTAAACCACTGGCCACAAAAGTGAGTACACCCCTAAGTGAAAATGTCCAAATTGGGCCCAAAGTGTCAATATTTTGTGCGCCCACCATTATTTTCCAGCACTGCCTTAACCCTCTTGGGCATGGAGTTCATCAGAGTTTCACAGGTTGCCACTGGAGTCCTCTTCCACTCCTCCATGAAGACATCACGGAGCTGGTGGATGTTAGAGACCTTGCGCTCCTCCACCTTCTGTTTGAGGATGCCCCACAGATGCTCAATAGGGTTTAGGTCTGGAGACATGCTTGGCCAATCTATCACCATCAGTGGTCGTCTTGGAGGTGTGCTTGGGGTTGTTATCATGTTGGAATACTGCCCAGCGGCCCAGTCTCCGAAGGGAGGGGCTCATGCTCTGCTTCAGTATGTCACAGTACATGTTGGCATTCATGGTTCCCTCAATGAACTGTAGCTCCCCAGTGCCGGCAGCACTCATGCAGCTCCAGACCATGACACTCCCACCACCGAGAGAGAGAGAGAGAGAGAGAGAGAGAGAGAGAGAGAATGCAGTTAAGGTCCAATGGCAACTTTAAAAATGATTTGAAAAGGACATAAGGCACTGTTTATACACACAGTGATACATGATATGGTGAAATTGATAATGAATTGCTCTAACTCATCAAGAGCCCAAAAGAGAGAACCCTCGGGTTCTCCGGTTACAGCAAAGATTCAGAAGTGAGGTTAAATGGGAGTACAGGGGAAAATCAATCAGTCTGCAGAGGGAGAGAAATGGGAGGGAGAGAAAGAGAGAGAGAGAACGAGAGAGAAAGAGGGGTGTGACTGCAGCCCTGCAGTGCAGTACTATTTCTACACTTTAAGACAATGGCTAGAGAAGAAGATGACCACAATGCCCTCAGTCAGTGTGCTGTGGCCAGCATCCAGATTGCAGCTCTTACACATTTAGCCTCACC